CCTAACACCACTCTATATGTATTCCCCATGTTCCGCTTGAATTTGCTTCGACATTCCAATTTTAATTTCGCTCTTCTATCCAAATGGGCAACCAAAACCGGCGCACGAAAGTGCATGGTTAATAGTTGTAACAACTGAACTGAACCAGGAGTTTTGTAACTCCAAAACCAAGGCCGAACCTCCATACTTAAAAAACGATGGGGACAGCCCGTGCGCAACACATGGCCCTACCATCCTAGTCTATGGAGTTCGATCACTAGAATTGATTAGATTTTACACTTTTATCTGCACTACTCAATTCCATTGTCATGAAGGTTCCAAAAGGTCTTACTCACACAATTCTTGTCTTGATCATTAACTGGCTGTGCTGTATCAATGTGTAAATGCCATTATTCGAAATTTATTTATTTGTTTATTTTCATTTGTTTGATTTNCAACAGTGATTTCGTCGTTGTAAAAGATCCATGAAAAGCATTGTACCATAAAATCGATATTCTTATTCTTGGTCGTCATTTTTGACGATTTTCCGAGACGTTCATTTTACCAACTGTTATGATATCAGTTGACATTGAAGCCAGGTTTTCCCAAAGACTGATGCTTGTATGCGTTTGATGTATTTCCGGGTTTCAACAACTGATTAAGAGTGATCATCGCTTACACTTTTCTTTTTTAGTTGTCATCTGTCCAAAGTGGTCAAGGAGCTTGGTTGGTTGGAAACTAATGGATTTTTTCCTGAAACGCATTCCCGCATTTTCTCGCGCTTTGGGAGAATGGGAGTCAGACGAGGATTCAGAAACAGAGAAATGCTTGAATGAGGAACTTGCCTGTGTTGGTTCTGAAGATAAACCAGTTGTTCTTTCCCACGTGTTTCACAATCTGACTGTAAAGAATGTTCTCATAGGAATCGGCCCCTTGCAGACCGCATTCGTCACTTGTGCTTATCAGTTATCAAACGAAAACATGATTGCGGTTATTTCTTATCGCGTACCTGGTTTCGGAAGCACACAAAAAACCATACCGACCCAAGTTCGGTTGCACTACCATCCTACTGCCAGTGGAGGTACGGTTTGCGTTTTGATACCTGCTTCCAAACAAATTCCTCATGCTAATCAAAAGAAATTAGTGCAACTGATAATGGACAGCATTTTGAATTCCTCCAGTGGTTCTCGAGGTGATATCCTAGCAACTATCCTTTGTACTGAACCTATCTGTCAGTTTCAGTCACGTACTCCTCCAGATAGTCCTTCATTCGTTCGAATCCTCACCACTCAGAACCTGGAAAAACCGAAGGATGATCTACAATGTGCTCATCTTGAACAACCAAACATCATATCCGGGTTAGCTGCGGAATTTCTCACTTGGAACAAATTACACTCGGTTCCTGCCAGTTTGTATGTTTTGTTCTACACGACCCTTGATAATCCAAATTACGCCTGGCATTCTGCGAAGGAAATATTCCGGATCGTGAGCAAAATAAAAGCACTCAGCACTGTGCTCGCGTCACCTTGTTCGAACTGGGATAACTTGAACGATACAGCCCTCAAAGATTCATGCATTATGTATATTTGTGGTGATAAACCCTCGAAGATGGATCAAATGTACACTTGACCCGACCACGTGACCAATAAATTTTTTTGAATTGTTCTTATGGTAACTTTTTGTGATCTATTGAGGGAAACCGTATGATAAATTCGTATACAAGCGAGAAAAAGCACAACGTAAATAGAAACGAAACGTATATTGTTCCTAATGACTGATTCCGTTCTACAAAGTTATCGGAAATAATATGTAGTAGATCACTCAACCGTCTAAATATTTTCATGTTTGTCATTACTCTTGTATTTCTATTGTATTTTTCACTCTTATTGATTTCCGGATTGGTTACTAAAGGATAACGAAGTTAGTGTTTAGGTACATGGTTTGTAGTTGTTTAGTCCAAAGCACACCGGTTAATAGCCATCACAACTTTCCTCATTTGGAGTCTTTGCTTTCTGGTGATCGTTAAATTATTGTACAGGGCATGTTCACTTCAGTTCAGTCAATCAGTACAATCAGTAGCTATGCAATCCCGTGCGTTGGTTTTGGTTGATGTCTTTTAGTTGCCCGTTTGGATGAAGCAGTAGGAGAAAAACAGGAAGGTTGAAAGTACAGTAGAAGAGAAGATTGACAACTTCAGTGCACTAAGGTTGTAGAGAATTTCAAAAGTTGTACCAACTCCACTGTTTACGACATTCAACCATATTACTCAATGTATCCAGCCTTGGACTACACTGATCCCGAGGTTCCCAACGCGACCTATAGGATCGAGTCTCTTGGTTAGGGTTTTCATACCCTCATTCCTAGTCTTATTTTGATCACCCTTGGCTTTGTTCCACCCACCACCTGTATCAGAAAAAATCGCGCACCGTGGCAACCTATTTGGTGACATGCGCAACATAAGCCCCAACCA